GGCCCCAAGATGTCAAAAATACATCTTAAAATACAGAAAATAAAATAAATCCATTATAAAATATAGAAAAAGAAAACTCCCCCCAAAACCCATGATCGCTACACAGGAATTCAGTCAGAGCACAGCAGGAGGGGCTTGTTTCTGCTCCAGGACATCAGAACTTCAGCTAGGAAGTCTTGAATGCTGAGATTGACTTGATAGCTGGAGGGGCTGGAATAATCATTTCTCATCCCTTTAGTGCCTAGCCTGGGAAAATTAGAACTGTTGACTGGAGTGCTTCAGAGGCTTCTCAATGTGACCAGAAGCATGGTGGCCTCAGAATAGGCAGACTTCTTCCACAGTGGCTCAGGGCTTAAAGTGTATATTTATTTTGGCAAATAGGGCAGAAGCTACATTGCCATTTTTTTTTTTTTTTTTTTTGAGACAGGGTCTTGTTCTGTTGCCCAGGCTAGAGTGTAGGAGTGTGATCCTGGCTCACTGCAACCTCTGCCTCCCAGGCTTAAGCCACCCTCCTACCTCAGCCTCCCAAGTAGCTAGGACTTCAGGTTCACGCCATCATACCCAGGTAAAAAAATATATATATATTTTGGTATTTTTGGTAGAGATAGGGTTTTGCCATGTTGCCCAGGTTGGTCTCAAACTCCAGCCTGGTCAGGGCAATCTGCCCACCTCGGACTTCCAAAGTGCTGGGATTACAGATGTGAGCCACCATGCCCAGCCTGCATTGCCTTTTTTGACATGAACTCGAAGAGATATAGTGTTGTTACTGCCATTAGTTACAACTGAGTCATAAGCCTGCCAGATTCAAAAGAAGTGGATATAGACCCAATATCTTGATGGGAGGAAAGTCACAGAATTTGCTGCTATTTTTGAAAAACTGCCCACGTGGAACTAAGATTCAGATTCTGACAGTTTGGCTCCAGACCTTATTTGCTTAACTACAGGGTCATTGTAAGGCACAGAAATCTGTTTAAGTTTGCCCAAGAAGTGGGGAGAAACCTACAGTGTGTTTACAGAGATGAAGTCCAGCTGAATGACCTGGAGTGAGTCACAGGCAGATGTTTTCTGTCTCTCACTATCTCGTCTCTGCATATCTGCCTGTGGTAGTTAATTTTATGTGTCAATTTGACTGGGCCACAGAATGCCCAGATACTTGGTCAAACATGGTTCTGGGTGTTTCTGCAAGGGTGTTTGTGGATGGGATTAACATACATTGGTAGACTAAAACCAATTGCCCTCCCCATGTGGGTAGGACTCATCTAATCAGTTGAAGGCCTGAATAGAATAAAAATCAGCCAGTTCACAGGTAAGGAGGTGATGCAAACACTCAGCACAGAGCATCATCCAACTCCAGCCCTTGGGGGCCATCCTCCTGCCTTAAAGCTCCTGCTGTGGATAAAATAGGGAGTTAGGGGGCAAATCCCCCACTCCAGTGGCCCCTAGCATAGCAGGGGGAGACACGGAAATAGCAGTCAGGCTCCAAAAGTGCAGATCTCAGGGACCGCAGCAACCACACCCAACTCTCATGGCCTCTTCCTGGCCCCACTCACTCTTGGGGCCTGTTGCCCAGTCCCCTTCCTGCTGGGCCTCTCCACAAAATCAGGACCATTCTCTTTCCTGCCATTCAGCGGCAATTCTCTGATGTTTTGTATCCTCCCAGACCAAGGCTGAAGCCTCAGATATATGTAGTGGTTAAAAGCTTCGATTTGGAATTTCTATCTCTACTAGCTGTGTGACACCGAATCAATCACGTAACTTCCCTATGCCTCGGTCTCAGGTTCCTCATTTTAAGGTGAGGATTTTGGCTTTGTTTGTTTGTTTTGAGAGTCTTGCTCTGTTGTCAGGCCAGAGTGCAATGACGCGATCTTGGATCACTGCAATCTCCGCCTCCTGGGTTCAAGTGATTCCCCTGCCTCAGCCTCCCAGGTAGCTGGGACTACAGGGGCGCACCACCATGCCCAGCTAATTTTTTTTTTTTTTGTATTTTAATAGAGACTGTGTTTCACCATGTTGGCCAGGCTGGTCTCAATCTCCTGACCTCAGGTGATCCACCTGCCTTGGCCTTCCAAAGTTCTGGGTTTACAGGCGTGAGCCACCATGGCTGGTCACCACCACCATTTTTGTTATAAGCGAGCCTGCTCTTTGGGAGATGTTCCCTTATCTCTTAAGATTGCTGGCTGCAGACATGACCCTGAAGAATGGCAGTCATGGCCATGCATTCTTGGCACACCCAGCGGTAACATCTAGTGATGCTCTGGACCCATGGCGGGCTGCCCCTCCTGGCAACTCTGGTCTCCCACCTCTGCTTGTTGAAATTCTATCCGGCTTCCAATGACACCTTGTGCTGAAAGATTCCCCAGCCCTCCCCTCACACATACTCTCTTCCTTCCCTTTTGTATTTTCTTAGAACCCTCATCTACACCTCTCTTTTATGTCCACATTGATCCCTCCCCTACCAGCAGAGTGCAAGCGCTTTGAGGGCAGAAGTTGGTCCTTTTCATTTCTGCTTTCCACATCCAGATTGTTTGCAGCTAGCAGGTGCCTAGGCCATATTTGTTGAGTTGGACGGAATCAAAATTTTTCTGCATGGTATGCTTTTTCCAGAGAGTCCGCTGGACAGCCCTGTAGAATGTGAAAACATTCCAGGATTCCAGAGGCTAAAAATATCACCCCAAGGCCACTGCAGGCACTTCCTTGTAAGGCGCGATGTGACTCCTGAGGCTGGAAGTTTATGCCCACCAGGTGACATTCGACCCTCAAGTCTCCCACAGCCTTTTTTAGAAAGGAAGGATTTTGTTCCCTCCCTTTTACAGTTGGTTCACTTAGGTCCCCACTCACATTAATCCCCTGGCACTAGCCCAGCACCCAGATTCGCACCCAGCTGCCCAACTGAGCCTGAGCCCTATTCAATACCAGCATCTGGAGGGTTTTGAGGATTCCCCTCCAGGGGACAGAGGGATGCTAAGGGACGCTGAGGGGAGAGCTCTGAAATTGGGATCTGAAGACCTAGGTTTGAGTCCCAACAATGACACAAGTTGTGTTTCTTTGGGCAAGTCGCTTATCCTTTCTGGGTCCCTGTGAGTGTAGCCAAGAATAAAATGTGGAAATTATATAAACGTACTTTGAATGTGGTGTGGAGTCAGCTCCCCTGGGCTGGTATTTGAGCTGTCACCGCCTTCCTGTGAACATGACCAACTTCTGGAGTGCAGTGACACAATCTCAGCTCACTGCCACGTCCGCCTCCCGGGTTCAAGCAATTCTCCTGCCTCCCAAGTAGCTGGAATTATAGGTGCACACAACCACACCTGGCTAATTTTTGTATTTTTAGTAGAGATGGGGTTTCACCATGTTGGCCAGGCTGGTCTCAAACCGCTGACCTCAGGTGATCTGCCCACCTCAGCCTCCCAAAGTGCTGGGATTACAGGCGTGAGCCACCACGCCCAGCTTAAATGTTTTATTTTTTATTTTATTTTATTTATTTATTTTTGAGACGTATTCTTGCTCTGTGTCACCCAGGCTAGAGGGCAGTGGCATGATCTCAGCTCACTGCAATCTCTGCCTCCTGGGTTCAAGTGATTCTCCTGCCTCAGCCTCCCAAGTAGCTGGGATTAGAGGTGTCAGTCACTGAACCTGGCTAATTTTTGTTTTTTTAGTAGACAGGGTTTCACCATCTTGGCCAGGCTGCTCTCGAACTCCTCACCTCATGATCCACCTGCCGTGGCCTCCCAGTGTTGCGATTACAGGCGTAAGCCACCGCACCCAAAGGTGCTTACCTTTAACTTCTTTAACCCTGTAAGCCCTGGTTTCCCCATCAGCAAATCAGAGCTATTAATCATTTTATGGGTTGGTGGAAGGATCAAGTTAAACAACAAACATAAAGTGCTCATCATAGTGCCTAGAATACAGCAAGCATTCAATGAATAAAAATCACATGTATATTATGAATCCCTGGCCCTTAAAACAGTGTCCAGCATTTAATAGGTGCTCAATATCTATTTGCTGGTAACAGGATTTTACAGATGAGTAAACTGAGGCACAAAGAGCTCAAGCTGCCTTCCCCCTAGGCCCCAGCACTAAGGAGTAGTGAGGCAATGATCCACAGCCAGGCAGTCTGACTCCAGGACCTGCACCCTAAGCCTCTACACCATGCTGTCGCACACAGACAGAGGTGTCATACATCACCATTTGTTTCTTTAAAATAATGCATTCAGGCCTGTAATCCCAGCACTTTGGGATGCCGAGGCAGGCAGATCACATGAGATCAGGAGTTCGAGACCAGTCTGGTCAAAGTAGTGAAATCCTGTCTCTACTAAAAACACAAGAATTAGCCAGGCATGATGGTGCACGCCTGTAGTCCCAGCCACTCAGGAGGCTGAGGCAGGAGAATCGCTTGAACTCAAGAGGCAGAGGTTGCAGTGAGCCGAGATCGCGCCACTGCACTCCAGCCTGGAGACAGAGTGAGACTTTGTCTCTCTCTATATCTGTCTGTCTATGCAGTAGCTCATGCCTGTAATTCCAACACTTCGGGAGGCTGAGGAGGGAGGATCGCTTGAGCCCAGGAGTTCAAGACTAGCCTGGGCAAGATGGCAAGCTTCCATTTCTCTCTTTTTTTTAATGCATTCAGAGCCTTCTCCAAGTGGGCTGAATTGGCAGTGAGAGGCATTATCCGCTTAGAAACCACATAGCTTTTCTTTCCCAAGGGGAGCCAGCCTGCTGGAAGAGGACCTGCTCATCCAGGCCAGAGGACAGAGGACTCATGACCAGGAGATGAAGACTAGCTCTGCAGCGTGAGGTCAGCTGTAGGTCTGAGGCATGCACAGTCCCCAGGGTAAGAGGGGCCCTCTCAGTTCCAGTGCTGCCCCTGCAGCCACTCAGTTATCTGTTCCACAAATATTTACTGAGCATCTCCTATGTGCCAGGCACAGGCAAAGATGGATAAGACATGATATCCAATAGTTATTATATAGCCGGCTCAAAACTGCTGCAGGGGGATGGTCCAAGTGGGGGCCTAGAAGAGCAGTCTCAGAGGCTGGACCAAAAGGAGGCAGCATTTAAATTGGGCCTTGAAGGGTAAATAAGAGTTTTGCTGTCAAGTGGGGTCTGGAAATGCAGGGCATTCTGAGCTCATCTGGAAAATTTGAAAGGATTGGTGGGATTGGTATGCTGGGTGGCAGCACGGGAAAGGGACGGAAGTGGCAAGCCAGGAAGCCGGAAATTGGTTGGGGACAGATTGTGAAATAGGGCACAGAGAAGAGACAGCCTCTGTCCTGTCTCAGTGGGGGAAGCAGTATAGTGAACAACCAAGTCTATGTTTTAGAAAGATGTCTTGAGCCTGGCGCGGTGGTTCACGCCTGTAATCCCAGCACTTTGGGAGCCGTAGGGTTTGTGTCCTGGTCACAATGGTTAGCGTATTTTTAATCTGGGCAAGACGGGAGGATGACAAGGAAGGGGGTGGATAAGAGTGTAGGGACAATAAGCTTGTGCTGAGTGGGACCGGTGGCGGTGCCTCTGGTAGATGATGGACTCTTACTCTGAGACCATCTGGACAACTTTGGACAGGACGAGGCGGGCCCTGGCAGGAGACTGCCTACGTCCAGGCGACAGCGGATGTCAGTTCAAAATCAGCACTGCTGAAGAGCCCGGAGGCCCAGGGTGGGCGCTATGGCAGGAGAGAGAAAAGGAGGCAGGGCGGGTAGGGGTGGCCCCAGATGTGGCAAACTTGGCTCAGCAGCGTGCATGTGGGCAGTGCTGAAGCCCGCATCGGGCTGGGGGATTCGCCCCGCCCTGGCCCAAGGACGAAGGAATCCGAGCTGGGGGCCTGGCGCAGAGGCGAAAGGGGGGCGCCAGGGTGGTGAGGCAGACGGAAAGAGAGATGGCAGGAAGCCGGGAGGAGCGCGCGGGGGAGGAGACCGCCGAGGGGAAGGGAAAGGGGCGGGTTGGAGGGCTGAAGAGCGGGAGAGGGAAGACGAGGAGGGCCGAGGGGAGGAGAGAAGAGAGGAAGGGTGGGGAGAGGAGGAAAGGAAGAGAGGACTAGGAGGGGAGTAAGGCGAGGAGGCCGCGGCGGGCGCAGCAGGCACCTGGGCCGGGCCGCCCCGACGAGCAAGGCGCCGCCATTCCGCTGCTCGGGGCGCCGCCGCCGCCGCCGCCGCGCCCGGGGGCCATGCTCCCGCCGCCCCCGCGCCAGCCGCCGCCCCAGGCGCGTGCGGCCCGCGGCGCGGTGCGCCTGCAGCGGCCCTTCCTGCGCAGTCCGCTGGGCGTGCTGCGGGTGCTGCAGCTGCTGGCCGGCGCCGCCTTCTGGATCACTATCGCCACGAGCAAGTACCAGGGTCCCGTGCACTTCGCGCTCTTCGTGTCCGTGCTCTTCTGGCTGCTCACCCTGGGCCTCTACTTCCTCACGCTGCTGGGCAAGCACGAGCTGGTCCCCGTGCTGGGCTCGCGCTGGCTCCTGGTCAACGTGGCGCACGACGTGCTGGCGGCCGCGCTCTACGGCGCCGCGACCGGCATCATGAGCGACCAGATGCAGCGCCACAGCTACTGCAACCTCAAGGATTACCAGCTGCCCTGCGCCTACCACGCCTTCCTGGCGGCCGCCGTCTGCGGCGGCGTCTGCCACGGCTTCTACCTGCTCTCGGCGCTCTATGGCTGCGGCCGTCGCTGCCAGGGCAAGCAGGAGGTGGTGTGAGCAGCCCGCGCCCGCCGCGGCCGGATCGGGGCGGAGGACCCCCGGGAGACCAGCGCCCCCAGTCCCTGCCGCCGCCCCGCGCGGGTGCGGCCTGGCACCCTCCCCCTACCCTCGAGCGTTTCCACTGTCGCCCGCGCCCAGGGACCCTGACGCGCAGCTCCCGCCTGACTGCCTTGCCGCCGTCCCCGCCGCCCAGAATCCCGAACGCCGCGCCGGACGCGCCGTCTCCAGGGACCAGCGTAGGGCTGCGATCCGAGGGGCGGACGCACGCTCGCAGACTAGCTGCCCCGAGGCCAAACCTCGCGGTTCCAGTTCCCTTCCCTGCTGATTCTAAGACGTGGACAGGCGCCGCGTAGATCCGGGGGAGGCTCCCAAATTGGAACCAGGCTTCTGGCTGCCCCCTTCCCTCCCACCCCGCGGTCGGAAGCGCACCCCCTTCCCCGGCCCCTCGTCCAGCTGTAAAACGCTGGAGCTGGGCCGCGGGCGGAGCTGAGAACAGGCCTTGGCTGATCCTAGGATGACCGGCGAGTTTGTTTTTAGCTTGGGATTGTGCGGGCGTCCTGCGAAGCTCCTTCCCGCCTGTCTCTCGGTGGTGGGATGTCTTGGGGTGGGGCCCATCGGCCAAGGTGGGGACGGATAGGAGGAGCCGGTGGGCTGTACCCTTATACTTCTAGAGTCTCCTCTTGCCTCTGCCTACTCCGCCTTTGTCCTTCAAGGTTTTTTTACAGGCCAGTCCCAAACGCACGCTAACTGACCTGGCCTCTCCGTGACACAAGGGTCTTCCCAGCCTTCCTTACCTGCTTCTGCCGCCCCTCTCATCTTCCCCCATATCTGTTTGCATTAGGAGCCCCACAACCATGGCGGAATATTAAGGTGAACCCCACCCCTTCTTACAGATGGGGACCCAGAGCCTGCTCTTGGGAACAGCCAGAGTAAGATTGGAATCGGGACTCATAGCCCAGCGCTGTTTGCATTGAAAGGGTGGGTGAGTCAGGACCCCTAGCTCAGGAGCCGCCTCTCGAAAAGGGGGTTTCAAGGCCAAGTTGATTTGTCAACGGGGCTGTCTCCCCTTCTTGGAGATGCTCATTAGCTTATCAAAGACTCTGAGAAGTTTCGCTGTTACAGAATTAATTTAGTTTACAGTATTAGCTGCTCCTGGGCCTGGAGCAGTATTCCTGCCTGGAGGTTCCCAGCAGCCCTGTGCTGTCCCGGCTCTCATTCATGCCTAAGGGCTCAACCCATTGGTTGTGTTCCGTTTGAAGATTTGGGGAGATCCTTCTTTTTCTCTTCCCCAGGGAATTTCTCTAGCAGAGGGAGGGGACCCACCCCAGTGAGGAAGGAGATTACTGACCCTAGCCAGAGACCTGAACTAGGGAATACGAACATTCCTTGACGTTGTTGGAGAAATGAAGCCAGAGTTATTCAGATGGTTTTCCCAGTCTAAAGGAAAGTCACCTGCAAGAGATCCTGGTGCTGACCTGCAGCAGCTGGCAGGGTGGGTCTCGCTTACCAAAGGGAAGAACCACTTTCTGGCGCTGGGGTGACCTGCTGGCTGGGCCTGTAAGGTAAGATGCTTCTTGGTTTTCTGGAAGGGGTCATGGTCATTTGAATAAAAAACACAGAACCAGGCCGGGCGCGGTGGCTCAAGCCTGTAATCCCAGCACTTTGGGAGGCCGAGGTGGGTGGATCACGAGGTCAAGAGATCGAGACCATTCTGGTCAACATGGTGAAACCCCGTCTCTACTAAAAATACAAAATATTAGCTGGGCACGGTGGCGCGTGCCTGTAATCCCAGCTACTCAGGAGGCTGAGGCAGGAGAATTGCCTGAACCCAGGAGGCGGAGATTGCGGTGAGCCGAGATCGCGCCATTGCACTCCAGCCTGGGCAACAAGAGCGAAACTCCGTCTCAAAAAAAAAAAACAAAAACACACACACACACACAGAACCTATTTATTTTCCAAAAGTTAAATGGTTTTTATTCAGAACAAGTTGGAGAGGTGACAGTAATAATCACAATATCTCCAGAGTTGTGAAAATTCAACCTTTTTGCTAAATCCTTCAATGGTCTGCTCTTTTATTTTTTCTTTCTTTTTTGTTTTGTTTTGAGACAGAGTCCACACCAGGCTGGAGTGCAGTGGTGTGATTATGGCTCACTATATAGTCTTGACCTCCTGGGCTCAAGCAATCCTCTCACCTCAGCCACCCAGGGAGCTGGGACTACAGGCACCTGCCACCATGCCTGGCTAATTTAAAAAATTTTTTAGAGATGGGGCCCCGTTATATTTTGCTTGCTGGTCTTAAACTTGTGGGCTCAAGAGATCCTCCTGTCTCAGCCTCCCAAAGTGTTGGGATTACAGGTGTGAGCCACTGTGCCTGGCCAGGTCTGCTGTTTGAAAGGCTCACCTTCTCTGGATTAGAAACCAGAAGAGCGGAAGAGGCCATGTGTTTTTGTGAGCTTGTTTTTAAAGCTTAGGTGCTTTAAAACAATATGTTCTATTTCTCTGTGGAGGTTATGAAGGTGTAGTTTCAGGATGTGTGAAGCATGGATGTAGTTCTAGGTCTGTTGCCATCAGAGCACCTATGTAGCTCTAACTATGTGATTGGCACATCTCAAAGCATTTTACAGGTGTCCATTGATTCTCTCAATAACCCTACTGAGGTGAGTTCGAATGTCATTTCCATATTCCTAATGAGGAAAATGAGTCCCAGAGAGGTTAAATACCTTGCCCAAGGTCTCCCAGCTAGTGAGTGGTAGAGGTAGGATTTGAACCCTGGCAGTCTGGCTTCTTCATGACCAGGCTATACTCTATATAGTAGGGTTTCAATATGTGTTAGATACTGTTAATGTGGCTATTTTTAAAATTGTGGTACAATATACATAAAATTTACCATCTTAACCATTTTTAAGTGTATAGTTCAGTGGCATTAAGAACATTCACAGCTGCGTGCAGTGGCTCAGGCCTGTAATACCAGCACTCTGGGAGGCCGAGGCTTGAGACTAGGAGTTTGAGACTAGCCTTGGCAACATAGCAAGATCCTTTTTCTACAAAAAGTTTTTTAAAATTAGCTGAGTGTGGTGGTGTGTGCCTGTGTTTCCAGTTACTTGGGAGGCTGAAGTGGTGATCGTTTGAGCCTAGGTGGTTGAGGCTGCAGTGAGCCATGTTCCTGCCACTGTACTCCAGCCTGGGTAACAGAGAAACTCTGTATCAAAAAAAAAAAAAAAAAAAAAGAAAGAAAAAAAAAGAACATTCACATTGTTATGCAGCCATCATCACTACCATCTATCTTCAGAACTTTTCTGATCTTGTAAAACTGAAACTCTGTACCCAATAAAATTGTGGGGGTTTTTTTGTTTTCTGTTTTTTTGTGTGTGAGATGGAGTCCCGCTCTGTCACCCAGGCTAGAGTGCAATGGTGTGATCTCGGCTCACTGCAACCTCTGACTCCCGGGTTCAAACCACTCTCTTGCCTCAGCCTCCCAAGTAGCTAGGACTACAGGCACACACCACTATGCCCAGCTAATTTTTGTATTTTAAGTAGAGCCAGAGTTTCACCTTGTTGGCTAGGCTGGTCTTGAACTCCTGACCTCAAATGATCCATGCACCTCAGCCTCCCAAAGTGCTTAGATTACAGGTATGAGCCACCACACCCAGCCGGACTTGGTTATTTTTGTTGTTTCTTTCTCTCCTATGGGAAATTCTGGAACACTGAGCCCTAAGTCCCCTGAGTCCTTCAATGTTTCAGTTAGGCCGGGTCCCACTGCCAAACTCTAGGAAGGGTAACGTTCCCTCAGCCCCAGCTGCTGGTGCAGCAAGAGCCTGCGGTGAGACATTTGGGGTGCCTAGGAAGCCCATTGACTTTGATTCTCCTGTTGCAGGTTTCCATGTTGCTGAGGCCACAGAGAATACCAGAGCTGGTCACACTGACTGCTTCCAGGGCCCGCTGCCCTGGGCTGGCAACACTGTTCTGGCCTGGGCCTGCAGAAGCTTTCAGAGTCTTCACTGACAGTAGCGGGAGGTGGGGAGAGAAATGACCTCTGTCTAGTAGTTTCCTTTCCACATCGTGCAATGGAAGATCCCAGATGGGTGAAGATTGATTTTGCCTTAACCCAAGAGAATTCCTGTTCTCCTTGTGCTGTGGTTTGGACACAAGATTCTGGACACCTGGAAATTAGCTGTATACTCCTGGACCCTAAACAATGGGTTTGACTTCTAGCCTTTATTCTTTTTTTCTTTTTTCAGATCACCATCTAAGTTATACCTTTAGCTCAGGTCCAGCCTTCTCAAGATCTCCCTCTTAGCCCCCCAGCCCCTGGTGCTGTCTGTGGTCAGGTGACCTTACTTAGGAGCAGATATCTCCTTGGCCGCCACGGAGCTGCATCCATCCACATGTGCCTGTAGCATTCCAGAGCTCACTGCTCTTAGATGTGCCTTCCCACTGGGCTTCCAGCAGCTCTGTGCTCCCTTTGTCTGCCAGGTATGAGAAGGACGTGTAAGACCGCCACCACACTCACCCTCCCTCAAGGCCCTGTGCCATAGAGGTGGCCACCTGACCTGCCCCCAGAATTTTTGGATAGTGGAGGCAGTCACATAAGCCTCCCTCTTTGGACACCAGGACTCAGTCCAGCCCAAGACCACTCTGGGCAGCTCTCATCCTGGTCTGGGGCCATTTGCAGACTCAGGACAGGATTTCTGCAGTGTTCTATAAAAGCCAAAAGAGAGAGTGGGTTTGGGAAGAATGAGGGTGGCTGGGGAGAGGGGACCGATGTGCCTCATTATTTAGTGGTGATTCCTCATACGCTTTTCTGGATAAAGTTTGGTTGTCTGCTTTTGGTGTGTGTGTCTTCTGTCCTGGTCCTCCCAGTCCATCTCATTGAGCCTCACACCCTGCTGCTGGCATCGTTTCTGCCTCTTTGGCTTCCTCTTTCCCTTTAGGAGGGAAAGAGAGTGAGTTCACAGATCTCCAGTGCAGTTAGGAGCATGGACCAGGGGTTGTCTGAGGGCAGAAACCAGAGGGAAGAAAACTGCCTGTGTCCCTGACAGAGGCTGGAGGGAGTTCCAGAGGCTTTTGTCCCTGCTCTCAATGGGCCCTCTGTTAGGGAGCTCCATTGCCTCTCATTCTGGGCACAGAAAGACTGTGGTTGCCGCTAGAGGGTCCTGTTCTAATCCAACCCCATCATTTTACAGAAGTGGAAATGAAGTTCAGGGCGTGGTGGCAACCTGCCTGATGCTACACAGCTGATTAGGGGCAGAGCTGGGGTCTCCTGTAGCCCAGGCCCTGTGTTTTTCCCTCCACGCCACTGTGGCCTGCTGTGGTGGTGTCTCATGGGCCACGCCCCACCTGTATTTCCCTCGATTCCCCAGAGATTCTTTGCCCAGCAAGTTGCTGCCTGCCCACAGATGCCCTGGAAAGGGTGTGAGGCAGAGTTAAGAGGCTTTCTCCCAGGTTTCTCCTCCCTGTGCCCCGGGCCTGACATCTGCAGCCAGGAAACAGGATTCTACTAGAAGATTTCAAAACTCACCTGGAACAGCTCCAGGCTGGGATCTCATGCCGTGTGTGCCACACCCACTGTCTTCAAAGAGCCTTTCCAATGCCTGCGTGCACAAACATACACACAGGCACACACACCCTCTTCATGATTTGGTTTGTGATTGGAGAGTGGGTGGAGGAAAACACCATCAGCTGTGAGGCCCCTCCCCTCCCCTCCTCTTGCCTCTCCTGTTTGTGAATTTTGGGCAAAGTAAAAAGTGGCTCTGCTTTCCACAAAGGCTGGTAAGCCCCTGCTCTACTCTACTTTAGTGGTGGAGCGTTTTGCAGTTGAAATATGCTTCTACCTGCATTGCCCTATTTGATCTTCCCTGTAGTCTTGTTTTTTCCAGATGGAGTCTCTCTCTCTCACTCAAGCTGTAATGCAATGGCACCATCTCAGCTCACTGCAACCTCCATCTCCCAGGTTCAAGCAATTCTCCTGCCTCTGCCTTCTGAGTAGCTGGGACTACAGGTGCGCATCACCATACCCTGCCAATTTTTGTATTTTTAGTAGAGACGGGGTTTCACTACATTTGCCAGGCTGGCCTCAAACTGATCTCAGATGGTCCACCCACCTCGGCCTCCCAAAGTGCTGGGATTACAGGCGTGAGCCACTGCACCCAGCCCCTTCCCAGTAATCTTATAGGTTGGCACTGTTGCCCCCCCGCCCCGACACCTCTCACCCCGTTCAGTAGAGGAATTGGAGCCCAGAGAATGGAAAGGCCTTATCCATGGTCACACAGCTGACTAGTGGTAGGGCAGGGACTGGAAGGCAGAGGTTTCTTTAAGCCCTCTGGTCCTTTGGCAGGCTCTAAAGCTTAGTGAGAGGTTGGTTTTCCCTCCAGGAGACCAGGTGTTTAGGAATGGCCGAATCTGGCATTTCCTGCTTAATGGACTTTGAAATAAGACACTGCTTCTCAGGGACATAATGAGCTCCTTTGAGTGGGAAACCGCAGGGGTTTATGTCTATTACTTTTCCTGCTTTTCTATGGATGGAGGTGGGGTGGTCAGCAGTAAAAAATGAGAATTAATAAATAAACATTTTCAGGGGTAAAAGGAAAAAGGAATATGAGGAAAGTTTGGTTAGCATTATTTACATGTTTTTTGTTTGGTCACAATAGCTATTTGTAAAATAAAGTAGTAATATATATCCATGAAAATATAATACCAACATGTACCATCAAAACATGTAAGCAGTATAGATGTGTAAAAAGTAGAAAGAAAACCTGGGCCAGGTGCAGTGGCTCATGCCTGTAATTCCCAACACTTTGGGAGGCCGAGGTGGGCAGATCACTTGAGCTCAGGAGTTTGAGACCAGCCTGGCCAACATGGCAAAACCCTATCTCTAAAAAAATATGAAAAAAATTGGCTGGGCGTGGTGACATGCCCGCAGCTACTCAGGAGGCTGAAGCTGGGGAAACCTCTTGAGCTTGAGAGGTCGAGGCTATAGTGAGCTGTGTTGTGCACCCCAGCCTGGGTGACAGAGTGAGACACTCAAAACAACAAAAAAAAGACACAAAAAGAGGCTGGGATGGTGGCTCACGCCTGGCCACTTTCTTCATTGTTTATAACTATTCAAACATTTATGGATGTACCCGTGCACACACACACACAGACTCTTCTACAACTTGCTTTTTAAATGTAACAATAATACAGCTCTAACTCTCTGTGTCCATGGAAACAGTAGTCAAGGACTGCAAGAATTCTGTGGGCTTTCTGGAACTTTGCTAACTTTCTCACTCTGGTTAACTGTTAGTCCCTTGGCTGTTCCCTATAGAGATCTTCATAAAACCCTTAAAAAAAGCGGGGTGGGGGGGGTCCTTTTCTATCAATGAGGAAACCAACAGGGGAAGTGATTCCTTAGGCCTGTGCCCTTTCTAACCCCTATCCTGAGAGTAGTGAGAATGGGTGGGAGCCCTGGAGTGGCTGCATCCCACTCCATAGCCTGTCTCGGGGACAGGAGCCCCAGGGACCAGGGTTAGTGGGGGCAGCTGGAAAGAGATGAGGAGGGCCTGAGACATTCTGGGCCTTGTGGGGCAAAGTATGCTGGGGAGCTAGTCAGAACCCAAGAAGAGCATTTGGAGACGGCCAGCAGGAGGTCCGTGGGATCCACCCACACCAGCCTCAATAGCCCTTGGAAATTCCAATCTGGTTTCTAATCCGAAGGCCCTTCTGCCCTCCCTATTCCAAGGCCTCATGGCCTCATTCCTTCTTTTTTTTTTTTTTTTTTTGAGACCAAGTCCCATTCTGTCACCCAGGCTGGAGTGCAGTGTGTGATCTTGGCTCATTGCAACCTCCACCTCCTGGGTTCAAGCGATTCTCCTGCCTCAACCTCCCAAGTAGGTGGGATTACAGGCACATGCCACCATACCCAACTAATTTTTGTATTTTTAGTTGAGATGGGGTTTTACCATGTTGGCCAGGCTGGTCTTGAACTCCTGACCTTAGGTGATCCACCTGCCTTAGCCTCCCAAAGTGCTGGGATTACAGGCATGAGCCACTGCACCTGGCACCTCATTCCTTTTGAACTGGGTGGCTGTTTGGGATCTGGTAGGCATCAAGGCTGTTCTGTTCCTTCACTAGCACAGATGGGGACAGCAAGCTGATGGAGGCCAGAGGCAGACCCTCCAGGCTTCATACTTGTCTGTCCCTCTAGCTGGAGGCAGATTCTCCTTGCTGCCATCTCCAGGATGCCTGAATGGGGCGCCCTGACACCCAGTTGTGAAGCACTTCTGAGTCAAGGCTGGGAAGAGGGAGAAAGGGAACTAACTTTCGGAAGGACCATGAGCCAAGAACATAATGGGTGCCTTATATAACATCTCTTATCCTCTCATTCCCACCAAGTAGCAGATATCCTCATTTCACAGTCGTGGAAACAGGCTCACAGGAGTAGGCTAATGTTCCCAGGGCACTTGACTATGTAGTGACTGAAACAAGTTTCAGACTCAGGTCTGTGCTACCACACCACCATGCTGCTTCAAAGATTTCCCAGCAGACGAACTTTTTCCACAACCATCCAAATACTTTATCCAAACTTCATCTGAGTTTTGAAGTATTTACATCTTGAGCTAATGTGGGAAAGAAAGACTGTAAGGAATAGGCCAGGAGGCTGGGTGCAGTGGCTCATGCCTATAATCCCAGCATTTTGGGAGGCCACGGCGGGCAGATCACTTGAGGTCAGGAATTCGACATCAGCCTGGCCAACATGGTGAAAGCCTGTCTCTACCAAAAAAAAAAAAAAAAAGTCAGCAATGGTAGTGGTGGGCATCTGTAATCCTAGTTACTCAGGAGGCTGAGTCAGGAGAATTGCTAAAACCTGGGAACTGGAGGTTGCAATAAGCTAAGATTGTGCCACTGCACTCCAGTCTGGGTGACAGAGTGAGACTGTCTCAAAAAAAAAGTAGGCTGGGAGTGGTGGCTCCCACCTCTAATCGCAGCACTTTAGGAGGCTAAGGCAGGGGGATTGCTTGAGCCCAGGATTTTGAGACCAGCCTGAGCAATGTAGCAAGACCCCATCTCTACAAAAAATAAAACAATTAGCTGGGCATGGTGGCATGCACCAGTTGTCCCAGCTGCATGGGTGGTTGAGTGAGACAATTGCTTGAGCCCAGGAGGTTGAATTGAGGCTGTAGTGAGCTATGATTGTACCACTGTACTCCAGCCTGGGCGACAGAGCAAGACCTTATATACATATTTTAAAAAGTTATTACAAATCTGAATTTCTTTCCAGAACTTCTCTCTTCCCAGGTTGGGATGAAGTTAGGTAGTTACCTTTAGGTATAATTAGCTCACTGTGCCAAAGTCACTCTCCCGTCCCCTGAAGACAGTCCCTCTGTCCACTGGATGTGAGAAGGGTATGTCAGACTGCCCACCGGCCCCTACTCCCTCTTGTAGCCCTGTGCCAGAGGTATGGATACCTGACCTGACTCTGAACTCTGAACACTAAAGCCTCTGCCTTTTGCAATCTTGTCCTGTTCTCTGTTCTGTCTCCTTTTGTGTGTCTCAGGCAGTTAGCATGACTTGTTCTAATTTTTGGGTGAGCTCAGACTATGATGTCAGCAGTGAGCTCTATCTCTTATTAGCTGTCTCGTCTTAGGCAATTTATGAAACCTCTTTGCCTTTCAGCTTCCTGACTTAGTAAACGGGGATAATATTAGTACTTACCTCTCTGGGCTGTTGAAAGAGCTTCGTGAGATGAGGTGTGTCTGGCAATTCAGTCAGTGCAATTCAGCTCTCAGCAGCATATGTTTGTTGGGAGGATTTCATAAGATGTATGTAAAATGCTAAGCTCAGTGCCTGAACTG